CCCTGGGGCGGAGGGGCCTTGCTTGGGGGCTCCCCTGCGGGGAAACGGATCCTGCTCCCCGTGTAGGCAGCCCCCGGTATTAGAGAAAGCCCCCTGCCATAGGTAGCACCCCGCCATAGAGGCAGACCTCCCCCACCCCGTGTAGCTGCCCTCCAACATACAGTCAGACCCGCTGTCTGTGTAGGTGCCCCCGGTGTGGAGGCAGACCCGCCCCTGCTACCCCGGGGCAGACACCTTGCTGTATGGGTGCCACCCCTGGTATAGAGACAGGCACCTTGTATAGGTACCCCCAGTACAAAGACAACCACCCTCCCCTCATACAGATAACCCCCTGTATCCCATAGGCTTCACACCCTGTTCAGGTGGTACCCCTCAGTATAGCAACAGACCTTTCCCTTTTCTATAGGTACCCCCAAGCAGAGAGACAGACAGACCTCTTAGAAGGACAGCCATAACTGCTCAGGCTGCTCTCACGGATCATAATCAGCGCAGGGCAGTGCCAATGCAGCCGGGCCACGGGAGGAGATTATGTGCTGCGGGCTGTGATTTGTGCTGAGGTTTCCTACTAATAGTCCCATGTAGATTTTAGGCTTCTCGACCCCGCCTGGGAGGCTCTCCATGATGGCTTTCATCCTCAATGCACTCACCTGGTAAGTTGGCAACTAGCTGGAGCACCTGTGTCTTGTTCTTTCTTAACATTACACTCTAAGAGAAGTCAGCATGGCCTACTGCCCCTCTCAAAACATCTCCCAAAAGCCCTGTGCTTGCATGGGCATGTCTGCGGAGGGCAGTTGGGAACTGCTGATGCCTGACTTGCTATGTCCTGGAGAAGTCATTTCACTTCGCTGCCTCGGTTTCCTGGCTGGGAGTGAGATGTGCTTCTGTGAGAGATTTTACTGAAAGTTAGAGTTAATGGATCTCAGCAAACACTGATCTATAAACAAGAACTTACTTTGCCACTGGACAAAGAATACTGGGGGAGATTCTGCAGAGCACGTGGTAGGAATTTTTAAACTAAAAGCTCATTTCCCTGCCACCCATGATTAAAAAGCTGCAAGCACCTAAGTCTTGCGGTAGCAGCTGGGAGCAAGGTCAGAAACAACCAGCCTTAAAGCATTGAAGTTCTACAGCAGCTAAATAATTGGCACCAAAAACCCCTCATGGCTCTTGCCCTATCCCCTCTTCCACAGACACAGCGCAGCGTGTTGATTAATCTCTGTCTTTAATTTGCAGCGCTCTGGGCTTGCTGTACTTCATCCGCCGAGGAAAGCAGTGCCTGGATTTCACAGTCACGGTTCACTTCTTCCACCTTCTGGGCTGCTGGATTTATAACTCGCACTTTCCCTCCACCCTGACGTGGTGGCTGGTGCACATCGTGTGCACCGCACTGATGGCCGCGATCGGCGAGTACCTCTGCATGAGGATAGAACTCAGAGAAATCCCCCTCAGCTCTGCCCCCAAATCCAACGTATAGACTCGCTCTGGCGACAGCGCGCTGCGTTATGTCCTTGTTTCCAGCACGAGTGCACCTCATGCCTGAGGATCATCACTGAAGAAGCACAGCAGGTCTGGTTAGACTATTATGGGGTTTTAGGACCTTGGTGACCTAACGTGAGCATCTCTCTGCCATCAGCTGACGACGGGGAGGAGCAGATGTTTATTTTGTTAACACAGAGCATCTAATATTGACTGTATGGCAGGTGTGCTCTCAAACTCTTCAATCGTGAGACTGTTCAAAGCCAGGTAGCAAAAACTGATGCATGAGGAGCGTCTGGAATTTAACAAATGGGGGAGAACCCTGTGTAGGCAATGCAAGGGTCAGCTCTTTGTGTGGGAGCTGGCGCAGTGAGCAGCGGGGCTGGGAGCTGCTGCTTCTGACCTGTAACTTGTTTGTTTGGGCTTTGGTTGGGAAAAAAAGTCAAGGAAGTGAATGGATGGGGAGAAAATAGTTGTACTTACCTGAATCACCAGCTGAGACCCTAAATAACCTATAACATGAGATGGGTTGGTTTGCTGTTCCCATGTTTAATATGGAGATGTCAGCAGTTTGCTGAAGAAGTCTTTTGTAATAATAAAAATATGTTGCTGTGACAGACATATCCTTGTCTGTTCTTCTGGGAAGCTGAGCACTTCAAGAAATACCGTGTCTGTATCATGGCAACAGAAGGATTTGGCCGGAAAAGAACAGGAGGCTGTAAGATGCCCACAGTCCAGGACACATAAAATTTCCTACAATAAATACTTTGTACCGCTGCTCTGAAATCAGTGAGTGCTGTCTTGGGGAGTCAGCCAGCATAATCCTCGCTTCACGGGAAGCGTCAGCAACCCCCGGTCTCCATGTTCTTCATGGAGAGAGTGGTGAGGCACTGGGACAGGTTGCCCAGAGAAGCTGTGGATGCCCCATCCCTGGAAGTGTCCAAGACCAGGCTGGATGAGGCTTGGAGCAACCTGGTCTCGTGGAAGGTGTCCCTGCCCATGGCAGGGGGTGGGACTGGATGATCTTTAAGGTCCCTTCCAACCCAAACCACTCTGTATTCTGTGATTCTATGTTCAGCCCAAGGAGAGCTGTCCTGGGGAAACCTGCAAAAGTGTCCTGGAGCCACACGACTGTTCCCATTGGTCTGGTTTTGTCAGGCTTCACGAGTCCAGCAACAGATCTAGTCTGGTAGATGTTAAGTGAGAGACTGCTGCTGGTTTCTCAAAACAACAGGATGTGCCTTTATTTCGAGGCATGTTAACTAAACATCACCTGCTGCAGGCAGAAGCAACCTCACAGCTGAGGGGCTGGAGCTGGAGGGTTCCTCTGGATCCCACGGCCCAAGCAGGCACCCTGCGCCCTGCCTGGTTTCTGCTGCGGGGTGGCCAGTTTGTGTGATCCCAGATGAGGGCAAGCCGGTTCCAAAGACGTGTTTTCTCCTGCGAGACATCTTGTTGCAGTAACTTTCCTTTGTGTGCTAATATTTACACGTGTTAATAGCACAAATTGTTTGCTAATTCAGTTTGTTGGAAAGCGGTGGGATGGTGTGAGATGCAGATTCAAGGACAAACTCCTTGAAGCTGCTCTTTTGCGCTTCGTTACCCGGGGAGCTGTTTGTCACTGCCTGCTCTCACGTTCCGGTACTGTAAATTGGGGCAGGAGAACACCCTGATCTTCCAGCACTTGGCAGGCTGCAGAGGAGGATTGCTGGTTACAGTTACTCAGACACAACATTTTCTTTCCCAAGGTTTCTCCAGGACTTGTTCCTGACCAAACCCCCTTCAAGCACAGTTTTGGAACAGCAGCAGTCTTTCAGAGGGAAAGGTTTACACAAGTTTTTCTTGAGGCAGGGGCCAGCGCTTGCTTTAGGGCCACTTCCTAGGGCTTCCCAGGCAACTCTGCACTCTGCAAGGAGTTCATCCCTTCTCCAGATCTCCTTGTTTCTCATATATAAGGATACTTGCCTTTCTCCCAGTCACCTTCAGCCTCGATATAAACTCGTCTTCCAGTAGGTGCCAGCATCGCCTTGAGAGCTGTGAGCATGCTGCAGTTGGGATCAGGGCCCAGAGCAGAGGGCACGCTCTGCCTTGGGGCTGACAACGCTGGCTTGGTACCAGTCATATTTTAAGACTTTCAGGGTCATTTTGTCCTCTCCTATTTTTTGTTGCTGTTACTAAGAAAGAACATTGCAGTCCTGCACAGGCAAAGTTTGGGGGTCTAATTCAAGGTTTAATTCCACACCAAAGCTCAGCATGAACTTGTGTTCTTCAGGCAAGCGTGAGGAAGACAGTGGATATGAGAGCAAGGAGGAAAAGCCATGTTCATCCTGTTTCTTAAAGAAGGATGGGCAGCTGATCCCAGAGTTCCTGTGAGACTCCGTTAACCTGGTGCGACCTTTGTTCCCCTGTAAGAACAGGGATGAAAACTTTGGACCAAGGAACACTTAGCTCCTTCCTGAATGCATGAGCTTTGCTGTAACTGCTTCAGCAGCCTCCCTCGCAGGGGGAGGGAAGGCTGGGCGCAGCTTTGTACCTGGAGACACGCAGAGCAAGGCCACAAGAATAATCTGGGACAAACATGGATTTAACACTGAGTGTGTGGGACATCTGAGGAGCTGCACTGCACCAGCCTGAAGTGTGCTGTAGGATCAGAAATGCTTTCTGAAGGGCTGCTGACTTTGCCTTTGAGGCCTGAATCTGTGTATTACTTTTATTCTTTTAATGAAATTCACTGTAATTGTCCTTGTCATAGGAGAAGTTGTGCTAAAAATGAAACATTGAGGAGGGAACCTCTGAAACGCAACACTCCCATGCTGAGAGACCTAATTTTCACTCACGTGCTTTCAGTCAGATTTAGGAGCACCTTTGGCTTAAAAAAAAAAAGAAGTGCTGCTCCAGAGCAGAATGGTGGCAGATGGTCTTTGTTTCTTAATGAATCTTTGTTTTGAGTGTGCAATGGTTGAAGGATTTGCTTCCAGGGAAGCTATGCCCCAACACCTGCTCTGCTTAGAGACAGCAGCAAGTAGCCACGTGCATTCATGGTTTTACAAAGACAAGACTTCTCGGAGGTATCAGCTGAGGCTTTTACATTCCCCTTCCCCAAAGCTGTATGAAAGTAGAAAATTTTAACAGAGGGGAAGATGCCAAATCCAAAGTGAAGCTAAGAGCTGTGGGTTTTTGGGGGGCTGTGCTTATTTGTTTTCCTACAGGCATTAAGTACCTGTGCTAAACAAAGAGACCACTTACCACTGGTGGTATCTGGTGCTGTGCTTGCTCCCGCTGCAGGGAGTGTTCACAGCACCAGTGCGAGGTCTTCATCCAGCATTTCCCAGGCCCCTGAGGGGCCACGGGCATACCCAGCTGTGCACAGGGCTACCCTGCCCCTGCTGAAGGCAAAGCAAGTGCCCTGTGTGATGCATCCAGGGAAGTCAGGCTGAAATACCCTGCCAGGTAAACACGGACATCTCCGATCTGATGTCAGGCTGAGTTGTAGTTAGAAGATAGAGCTCACCATCACACCCAGCTGCTGAGTCCTAGTTCAGAGCATGACAACCAGCTCCTTCCCCGTTCCAGAGTGGCAGTAGCGCATGGGGAATGCCCTGGAAGTGGAAGAAAGGACTCACTGTGCATCCTCTTAGCAAGGAACTGCCCCAAGGCCCTCACAGGACCAGGCTACAGACCCATGCTGGGCAGCCAGGCAGGGCACGGAGCTTCATTAGTATCCTTCAAACACAACTGCCTTGTACTGCCCAACAGCGTTGTCGTATTTTTTCCTCACACAGCCAGAAATCACTTGCAAGCACCTCTATCATAAACACTTCCATGCTCGTACTGCAAAACTACCAACGCTCTGAGCTGCAAAGGAGACAAGAGGCGGTGCTGTCGAAGGAGAGGCAGGACAAATAACTTCCACCATGCTGTAGGCTCTACAACAAACTTTAATGCTCTGGAATTACACGCCGCTACCCACAGAGCTGCTCACAGGTACCCTGGGGAAAGCTGTACAGCAAGAGTTGCTGTAAATCCTTGTTCTGCTAGCTTGACACTCCCTCACCCCCCAAATATTTTTGCCCTCTATTTCCTTAGAAAAGGGATTTACACCTAACACAGGAGTTACTTGGGAATCCAGATATGTGCAAGAGAAGAGGTCATGCATCTGTGAATATTCTTCAGCAGGGGGTTCCCCATGCCCTCAAAGGAAAAGAGGCCAGAACAGAGCAGTAAGCACTCCTTTCCGTCTTTGAGAAGACATACACTGTCCCCTGCAGCCCACAAATATCAGTGGTAAAAATGCCCATCTTGTTTTCAGTCCCCAAATCAAAAATCCGGAGAGTTGCTCTGGTGGAAAGAGTCAGCAAAGTAAACAGGTTTCCTTCCAGCAGCCATCACAGAGTGCAGAAGAACCCAGGGTCCACAACTCGATTTCTCCATTTTCGCCCCAAATCCTCTGCCCCATATCTACCAGTTCCCAAACCTACAGTGAGCCAGATCTGCGTCTGTGCCTTGAGGCACAAGGGGACAGGCATTCCTCCGTATTACAGAGAAATAGCAAAACCCAGGAGATGCTGCCAAGCTCTTCTGCATCTCACAGATGTGGGAGGGAGCCAAGCGTTCCCTGAGCATCACACAGTGCATTCCTCGGAGGTTTGGAAGTGTGATCAGGAGGGTGCCATGACACGCACTGCCACCACCTTTGTGCGATACTTACAGATCTGTGGTTTATAAGTTCAGCCAAGTGACGATGAGGGGGATACCAAGGACAGAAACGTTGGGAATGTGAGGCCAGGCAAAGCTTTGGGCCGTGCTGCGGCTGCACAGGTCGAACAAGCTGCCTTGAAATTTGATTTTTTGAGATTCCCTTCTCAGCATCTCCCAGACGGCTGCTGCTTCCTTCTGGCACTCCCAGAGTGCTGCCAGGGCACACGTGTGAAATTCATCCCAGTACCTGCAGCCAGGGGAGACACCGGCCATCAGTCTCTCGGCAGCAGCACAATGGCAAGCAGCCATCAGCACCTTGCTAGCCAAGCCCACCCTCCAAGCAGCGACCACCTGTGCCTTGTGCAAGTTGCCCAGACTGTCCATCCCCCTCACTGTCTCCCAGAGCATCTCAGCTAAACCTCCAAACATCAAAACATTCAAATTATTTCATGACTTTTTTTTCTCCTGGAAGTCAATAAAATCCATTCTTTTCCATAAATAAATGCTTCCCTTCAGCACTGAGCACCCTGAGTATGTAAAATGGGCTGCACACAAAGGCTCACAAACTGCACACAAACTTTCTCCAAGCTGAGTCAAGGGCGAAGCACAAGCATGAAGCAAGGAGAAGGACAACGTATCCCGCAGCCGGCTGCAGCTTTATAACTAAGGCAGGGGCAGGAGGAGTTACTCACTGTGTTCTCATTAGATACACCTCCGTTTGTCTGCTGGGTGTTACCCTGCGTGAGTAGGAGCCATTCAGTGGAAAACAGCTCTTGGGGAGCACCAGGGAAAAACGACGAGACAGGCAAAGATCACCCGCAGTCCTGCGGTAACAAGCCAGGAGCTGCTCGCTGAAGTCCCCTTGGCTGCCTTCCCTGGGGACGGCGACTTGGATTTTGTTTGTTGTTGTTTTCTAGGACCAGAGGTAGAAGCAGGCAGGGAAACATCCCGGCAGGAACAGCTGAAAACTGCAGCCCCCGAGAAGACTCTCCCAGGAAGGGCCACAGTGGGCACCGCTCCACCGGCCCGGCACACTGGGGCTGGCAGCACGCGGGATGAGCCCACACTGCATTTATCCAGAGCAGCACGCAGCCTGCCACGGCTTTATCCCCTCCCTGAGCTCCTTCCCTGCTGCTGGTGAAGAGCTCCTTGCCCCCAGGGGTCAAGCTGAGCAGGGAGGGGTGGGCTGCAGCCGACCAGGGACCGGGACAGCAGGGACCAGGCTGGGCCATGCCCCCCCAGCCAGCCCAGGGAGGGCAAGAGTGGGCATCCCTGTCTGCTGTAGCTACAAACCCACAACATAAACCAGCAGGAGCTCGAAAGACTCGGCAGATGCCAGGGCCATCCTCTCCTCTGGAAGCAGCTCCTCTCCAAAACAAGAATGTCCCCAAGGGACAGATAAGGCTCCGTGCCACACTTGCCGCTAACTCCCCCCCGTGACTTCTTTCAGAGAGTTTCTTTTACCTGAGAAGAGCTTCACAAAAGCGTTTCAGATTGTGGCTTCTTTGGAGCAACACATGTCCTGGCACCCAACGCCAGGACAGGGACCGGCTGCAGGCAGCACCCTCGCAGGTCCCCACCCAGCTCCCCGGCTCCTGCCAGCCCTGGAGCACCGAATGACTCAGGGCCCGCACCTCAGTGCTGCTGTCCCACCTTGGCTGGGGCTGGGCACCACCACCCAGGCCAGGACTCACCCACAAGCTGGGGACTGCCTGCAGGACAGGAGCAATGGCTCTGCCCCCTTCTCCATCCCAGCAGGACACCAGGCACACCCCTCGGGAAGGGGGTGCAGCCTGGCCGAGCAGGGACCCTGCACACGGGAAAGGGGCAGCTTGGTTTTGTCCAACATCACCTTGTGCAGACGGGCAGAGCCAGGCACCCTACGGACCTTGTTTCCCTACGGGGGCTTGCGTCAGAACACCAGCTGCGAGGCAGTTCATTAAACCGAGCCACTGGGGCAGAATAAATGTCCCCGGATAAGGAGAAAAGCTGGTGCCAACGCAGGTAACCTGCCACACTGGTGCCTGAGCTGCTGCTGCAGAAGGCAGCTCGGCCAAGCGAGGGTTAAACCTGGCCCATGTCTTTGGGCAAAAGATGGCTGGGGGAAGGCAGAGGGGGATGACAGCTCCTGCCCGGTTCTGCTTTCAGCCGGGATGCCAATTCCCGGTGTTTCACCCTTCAGAGCCTCCATCTGCTCAGCCAGGCAGGCTGCCGGCAAGCAATGTGCTCGGGCCAGCTCCGAGGCAGCGCCATGCACGCAGAGCCATCAGCCCCACGCCAGCTCCCAGCTCCGCATCTGTCCTTCGCCCACGCTTCTGGAGAGGGGTCACGGAAAGCAGACAGCAGCGAGAAGGCTGAGGGTTAAAGGCCAGTAACTCTGCAATTTCCCTGGCAGGAAGCTGGGACATGATCAGCCTTTTCCTTCAGCCACAGCAAGCCCAGCTAGCCATGCACCGGGACCAGCAGGAGAAGCTGGCATGGCCCCGGAAGTGCAGCGGAGAAGATCCCAGGACCTGTTCTGGGATGGTTAGTGCCCCAAAACCTATAAAAACAACTTCATCTCACGTGTTTCATGCGAGTTTCGGCAGAAGAGTCACCTCTCCAGCAATCAGCCACAGCACGTGTGGGGCTGCGTGCTCGGTTGTTCTCCAATGCCAGGAAATCACATGTTCAAAAAATAGATATATATTACAGCCCAGAGCAGTTCCTGTTTCAGCCCAGCCTTCTGCCACATCCCAGAGAGGATTTCCATCCCGAGCTAGGCTGTCACACGGAGAAGGGAGAAAGAGCAGGTCACAGCCAACATCCTATCAGCACTTGCCGACAGAGGAATGCATGGGCAAGATAAGTTTAAAAAAACCCAGAGCGATAGTTAGTTTTATGTTCTTCTTGGACAAAGGAGTTTTGTTGAAGTGTTTTCCACTTCTGGCAACAACCACAGTAGATATTTCAGCTGGGGACCCTCCAGCTCCTTGTCCCTGCCTGCTGAGAGCCCAACGTGCCACCACCGACTGCCCCCACGCTGCCAGATGCCAGCCAGCTGTGCTGGCACCGTGGAGCAGCTCCTAGAGCCCCCACCTCCGTACAGAGGGTGACGCCTTCCCCTCCCTGCCCACGGGGGGTGGTTTTTAGCAGCTCGGAAAGCCTGACCCGCGGGGCGCTCAGCCCGGGCAGGTTTACACCGTGGGGTTTCCGCTAACGTCTGCATTTCCTTGTGACGCCTTTTCGCTCCCCACAGCTCGCTGCTGGGGACACGGCGCTACCTCCCTTCATCTCTGCCAACATTTTATCTCCACCTGCTCTCACCCCTCTCCCCGCCCCTTGGCTTTTTGGTCAGACCTTTCCCCAAACCCGTCCAACACCACCCCACATTACCCAACCCACAACAGTTCTGGAGCCAACCCCTCCCCAACACCCCCATCCGGGAGCACTGGTGACAGAGTCTGAAAATCGGGGGGAGCAATTCAAGCCGGAAGGATGAAGGGTCTCAGCAGGGAAGGAGAGAGGAGGAAGGCTGGGTTTGGGCACCCAACCCGAGGCCAGGGGCAAGCTGCTCCCTGCAGCAGCAAACCCCAGGACAGCACACAGCACGAAGCGAGTGGCTGGATGAGACCCGGGTGTCCAGGGGAAGCTTTCCTGGGGGGCAGGAGGGGGCAGGTCCCACCAGCTCCTCCCAGCTGTGGGCATACAGGGAGGCACAGGACAAGGCCTGGGGAGTTGGAGCTATTGCTAAGGGCCAGGATTGCAAATTCCAACGGCAGCCACGCGACGGATGGAGAGGAGGGAGCTCACCGGGTCTGACTGAAATGAGAGCAAGGTGGGGAGCACAGGGGGCTGTGCATGCAGCAGCGGGATCCGTAGGAGAGCTCAGACAGCGGCAGCCAGCACCAGGGGCAATGCCAAAAAGCCCCACAGGCCTCGCAGCACAAAACCCCTCCCCAGCACGCCCTCCCGCAGGGATG